GGGGAAACAAAAAAAAAAAATAATTATGCCTGGAGGACAAAAAAAAATCCAGTGTGCACTATAGGTTACCCTGGGAGACAATACATTCCAGTACACACTGTAGGTTCACCTCCAGTGTCTGAAAGAAAGTAAATGCAATATTCACTATAGGTGGACCTCCTACCATATAGGGTCAGCTCTTCAGTGTCCTTGTGAAAAAGCCCTCCAGGTGGCATTTCCCACAGAGCCCAGACAAGGTGCAGTTGAAGTGGTGGGTGTAGTGGCTGTCCAGGGCCAGATATGGGTGGGGACAGGGGACATCCCGGTGCCGGTATTCCTGGTGCAACACCAGCGGGTCTCCTACCCTAGAGATCAGGCAGATCCCTCTGGGCAGCATCTCTCCACCTCCGCAGCCAGTTCAGGTCTGTGATTGTCCCCCTCGGTTTCCTGCAGCGATTACTATGCCTCCGAGCATTCATCTCACAGTGATCGGTGCTGAGCGCCACTGCCAGGAGGGCGAGGGCTGCCAGAGTGAGGCACAGACCGGCAACGTAAAGGGGATCACACCCCAGGCACCCCCCTCAGCCCTCAGATCTGCAGCTGTGTGCATCCATCTGTCTGATCGCACATCCCCCTGTCTGTCCTCATCAATGATCACACACTGAGCACACCTATCCCGACATTGAATGGCCCCTGTCAGGCAGGGAGAGCTGTAAATAAAATATACCGTATTTATCTATTTCAGATATGTGGCTCCCCTCTGTGGAGGGTGCCTGTAGGCAGATGCCTGGTGGGAAATCTGGCCCTGCCCAAACCATCCTCTCCGCTCTTTTCAAGACCCCCTTCTCTCCAGTTTTCTCGTCACCTCCTCCCTTGCTCGCCTCCAGGACTTCTCCAGAGCCTCTCCCGTCCTCTGGAACTCCCTATCACAATCTATCCACTTATCTCATACTCTGTCCACCTTTAGGTGATCCTTGAAAACGTATATCTTCAGGGTAGCCTATCCCTCCTTGACATAATACCTGTCCTTTTACTTCTTCCATTAACTCATCCCACACATGTATTATCTTTTGTATCACGTGCCCCTAACTCATCCCACACAATTATTACCTTTTATACCATGTGCCCCACCTACTAGATTGTAACAGTACAGTTACTATTATTGTAACTGTACTGTCTCCCTACATGTTGTAAAGTACTAAATGTTGGTGCTATATAAATTCTGTAGTATAATAATAATAACAATGATTACTCAATCGACTTCTGTCGAAGAAGCTGGGCCCAAGAATTCTGGCTAAACAGTGACTGCAACCAATCAATGGATTAGTAATAAGAGTGAAAGGGGTTAATCCTGTGCGGATTGTCAACAAGGCTTTTCCAGTAAATACACTGCTGCTGATGCTGCTACCAAATGTATACATTAGATCAGGACAGTGTGCAAAACAATCAACCCTACCCACCTCTGATTGTTGATCCCAACATTGGCCAGAGGTTGTCAATGTCACATTAGCAGTCCATGAACAATAATAAACACTGCTACAGCTCTCAGGCTGCTTTGTTGCTGTGATCAGGATCTTTAGCAATCAATGTTTACCTTCTGTATTTGTAAATCTCTCCCAGACAGGATACACACATCATTCAGCCCTGGCCAGGCAGGCCACCCACATCTGCCCTCACCTGATTGCCAGCAGCTCATGGAGTAGGTATGCAGCAGCAGCCAGCAGGGCTCCCCCAGTCAGATACAGGGTTTTCTTCCACAAGGAATCCGATCCCAGCCCTGACATAACGCCAGAGGAATCCTGCAAAGGGAAAGCGATGATGTCCCCATAAAAGGAGTAGTTGTCCTCTGATCCTCCACACCAGCACAGCGACAAGGTCTGATTTCTGCTCAGATCAACCACACAAGACCTGGACGTGACTAGACCAACACCCCAGTGCATGCTGTGTGCACTGTCCTCTTCCTCTGCAGCCTGGGAGATGCATGAACAAAAAGCAGGGGCTTGGAGGGCTGGAAGGCTACATGGAGAGCCCCTGGAAGCAAGGAACCACAAGAGTGATGTGATGATGATTACTAGCAGGGAGGAGGCAATGGCAGCATCATATGAGGATGTCACTCCTCCACCTCCCCTCTGCTGCCTGATCTTGGTTTCCTCTTTGTGCTCTGCTGATCTCATGCTCCATCCTCACTGATGATGCTTCTGGGAAAAGGGATCTCTCTGATTGGAAACAGAGCCGTGGATACGATGAATATAAGGCACAGATACCCATAGCAGGAAATCCATGGCAACAATATATTATTTGCTGTTCATTTATTGCAGAAAAACAAGCTTTCTGATCATCTGCTTTACCTCTGATATTTTATATGATGGATAAGTGTACAATGCCTGTGTGCATTACCCTTAGGGCTCATCCACACGGGAGTAAAGAAACGCTGCGTCCAAATCAGTGCAGCGAATAGTTTTTTTTTACAGATCGTAACACAGCAGTATTGTATATAAGGGGCTGGTTCACACTGCTGTGTTGCATTTAGCACACGCTATTGCAATGCACTGCAGGCTAGGTGCGCTCGTGCGTTGCAAAGCCATTCATTTTGAATGGCACCCCAATGACCCTATCGGTTGGCGTGCAATGCACAGTACTGAGAATGGTGCATGCATTGTTTATGTGCGCTGCAAGGCAATGCAACGCACGCTAGCGCGGTACTGTGTGTTGTAGTACAACACACGCCCTGCTGAGAGGTGCGTCAGGGTGCAATTCAGAATGAATGGCAACACAACGCACCCATGCACCTTGCCTGCAGTGCATTGGGATGTGCAATAGCGTGCACTAAGCGCACAAATACCATTCTTAACGTGGCAGTGTAAACCAGCCCTTATGGGCCCATGCACACAGCTGCATTGTGCTCAGTAATCTTACTGCGCATTGAGCTACATAACATCAATGTAGAAAATTCTGCGCCCATGGTCAGTATTTCTGCGTTATTTACACATGAACGTAAACGCTATGTTCATGCGAGATGCTAGGACTGAAAATTGAGCTAGTGGAAAGGTAGAAGAATTTTAAGGATGTGAACATTTTATGGACTTGTACACATCTAAACACTTGTACACTGAAACACTTTATGGAGCAATTCACTGAAAACAGAGAAGTTGGAAGGGAATGAAAAGTTTACGCATGCGTGTTTACATGTCTAAACTGCAAGTATTTTGGCCACAAAAACGTGTATATGGTCAATACATTTCTAATGTATGAGCCCTAAATCTGGCCGTACAGAAGCAGTATTGTATGTGAAAGAAACTAATTTCCGGACTGCTCGACTTTCTAATAGGTAATGGGGTTAAATTGATTATTGTTTTTGAGTGTAAAGATGAAAAAAAATAATAATAATATAAATATAAATATTTCTCGAATGAATGAAATTTAACAGTAAGTACGGAGTTTCATCCAAGAAGCTCCTTTCATTGCAAAATTGAATGTAAAATGATTGAACAACATTCTAGAAGTCTTTGCTGGCATTATCGAATGTTCAGATTTTGAACATCTACCAGTGTATGGCTAGCTTTAGTTGTTCCTGACCCCCTAATAGATCTGTAAGAGCACATATGTTGACAGTTCTTGCTTCACCAAGATCTTTCATGTGTGACCTGTCTGATCCCGCACAGCCTCATTTTTAAAATCGGGCATTTAATCTTAGTGCATTGGATGCCACCGCAGGTCGTCGCACTGGAGAGACTGTGGAGTGTACAAATTGTGTGGTGACAGCTTTGGCAATGTGCAATACAACGCACACTGCCAGAGCTTCCACAATGCACTAGCCCGTCCACTAAAACATTTTAGTGGACAGACTGGTGTAAACGAGCCCTAAGAGAGAGTAGTTTCCTCATTGGTGCTAATAATGTCCTTACAAAGGCAGTGCTGAGATCTCCCACCACCAAGATAATGTGTTGAAATGACATGCTGCTACTTCAGATATGTCCATCTTGACACAGCTCAGTAGGAAAAGTGGACGGGTTCGAAAATCTTGTTTATTATTATTATTGGTATTTATATAGCGCTGACAATTTGCACAACGCTTTTACAGAGCACATTCACATCAGTCCCTGGCCTCAAGGAGCTTACATTCTAAGGTCCCTATCTCACGTGCATACATACAGGCCAATTTATACCGGAGCCAATTAACCTACCTGCATGCCTTTGGAGTGTGGGAGCAAACCAGAGTACCTGAAGGAATGCCACACAAGCACAGGGAGAACATACAAACTAATTGCAGATAGTGACCTGACCCGGATAGTTGCTGTTTGTCCTTGGACAAAGATGCTATTTATAACAAAGAGGTTATACACTCAGTCTTTATAAAATGCGGGCCACAACGTGGAGCCGGCATTGCTCTTTGAAGTTCTCTCTATGTGGAGAAAGCTCTGTGAATGAAAACCAGTCAAATGACTTTGAAAGGTCACTCTCCTCCTGGCTTTTCCCCCACCTCGGATTTATTTTTATTGGTTCCTACCAGCTTCTCGAAGCCATTGGAGCGCGATGCACATTTGTAAAGCACACCACTGGGCTTTATAAAACTGCAGTCATTCGTTTTTAAAGCAGTATGGTCATACCACCAAATGTAAATTTAATAAGGACCTGTCCACAACATAACATTGCACTGAACACACGGGGTCCATGCGTTTAGTGCATGTTGTAGAGAGTGCACTGCAGCGCACATTAAGTTTGCTGGTGCGTTGTGTTACCATTCATTTGTATATCTCAGACCTTGTCTCAAAGTATCACCCTAACCGTCCCCTCCGCTCATCCATTGACCTCCTGCTTTCCAGCTCCCTTGTCCACTCCTCCCATACTCGCCTCCAGGACTTCTCTAGAGTCTCTCCCATCCTCTGGAACTCTTTACCCCAACCTGTCCGTCTATCTCCCACCTTGACTGCCTTTAGGCGTTCCCTAAAGACTCATCTCTTCAGGGAAGCCTATCCCACCTCAACCTAACCACTCAACCATCACATTCTCACATAATTCATTACCACAGCTACCTCCTGTATCATTTCCCCCTCCTCTTTTAGATTGTAAGCCCTCACGGGCAGGGCCCTCCTTACCATCTTGTCTTGAATTGTATTGTGACTGTAATGTCTTCATTATATTGTAAAGCGCTGCGCAAACTGTTGGCGCTATATAAATACTATGTAATAATAATAATTTGAATGGCACCCCAATGCACCTCCCAGCGAGCGTGTTGCAGGGCAGTGCAGCTGCGGTACTGCAACACCAAGCATTTCATCCATTACTCTTTTACACTGCAGCACTACGCACGATACTGCAGTACCACATGTTGTGCTGCAACACATGCTTGCCAGGAGGTGCGTTGGGGTGCTGTTCACATTAATGGCAATGCAACTCACCAGCACACCTAGTATGTGGAGCAGTGCGCTGTGCAATAGCATATGCTAAACACATGTGCATTTAGGACAACGCATTGGTGTGAACAAGCACTATGGGGTCTATTCACAAAGCTGTCAAAGGATCTGGCCGTAGCTTCGGCCGATCCTTCACAATAGCCCGTACAGCTCCCGATCATGGCCGAGTGGCTCAGCCGAGCCAAACGCATATGCATCAACTTCTCTAATGCTGCCCATTGTAGTGGCACAGCTACATGCAGTCTCCACCATGTGACAGGGTGATAATACAAGAGATACAAGAGTCACCCCATAACATTAGTGCCAGTACAACAACCTTTATCTGCTACAGAAAGAATCCAAACATCCCTTACTGAGTCACCGAGAGAGTACTTCCTGGGTAACTTCCTTCATCACGGAACAGGTTGGTGGTGCTCTGTGGTTTTGTGAAACCTTTCGGTATAGCTTTTTTTGGGTGTGACAGCAAGGAGGCTGCAGTCGGTGTGTTTAGGAATTGTTGTGTATAGCAACCAGAGATTCTTATTTCAATAGGCTACCAGCAAAAGGCACCCAAATGGATTAGTGCACTACAGCCTAGAGCAGGGGTAGGCAACATCAGCACTCCAGCTGTGGTGAAACTACAAACCCACCATTGCACTGCAAGTATTGCCTGTGGCTGTCAGTCTTGCATCACCTCATGGGATTTGTAGTTTCAGCACTGCTGGAGTTTCAAGGTTGCCTACCCCTGGCCTAGAGGAAATAGTTGAAGGACAGTATGCCCCCATTGATGCAGCTCAAGGTTTCATTCACAGTTTGACTGTGTATCTTTAACGACTTCAAGACCAGGTGTTTAGACCCCCTTCCTGGCCAGGCCATTTTTCAGTGTTCAGCGCTGCAGTACTTTGACTGACATTTATTCTGTCATGCAACGCTGTACTGAAACGAATTTTATACCATTTTTTGGGGACAGATAGAGCTTTATTTTGGTGGTATTTAATCACCACTGGGGGTTTTATTTTTTACTATATTCAGGAGAAATTACTGAAAATTTTGAATTTTTTTTACATTGTTATAAAACAACTAATATTACCCAGTTTTTTTGTAAAATATAAAAGACGGGGTAACGTCGGGTAAATAGACACCAAACATGTCAAGCTTAAAGATCCCGACTGTCTGGATCCTCCCAGCTGCGTGAGAGACAGTTGGCTCTGCCTGTCTAGAGGCAGAGCCAGCTGTACCCGCCCCCTCCCACGTCCGTTTCGCTAGGCAGCGCTGGGTGACAGTCACGGCTCTCTGCAGGGACAGGATCGAGAGGTGACCGAACGCTGGTATGTGTTCGCTCACTTCCCGATCTATTGAGCCGACCTGTGACAGTTACATTGTCCCAGGTCGGCTAGAACTATGAGAATGAGTGATTTTCACTCGCCTCAAAGTTCTCCTTTAAATTGGGCTAAACAGCTACTGTTGATACACATTTGAAACACATACAGTATATGTTGTTTTACTTACCATAATATTTATGATTCTATTTAGCCATGTTTGTATGCACTGCAGCCCTTGTTCATACCTATGGTTGGGCCCATACTCATGGTGTGAACAGTCATACATAAGAGTGCAGAAAATGAATGCAGTAACAATGGCCTTGTACTGGTTGTGATGTTTTGCTACAATATTTCTCTTGACAATTTTTGGAGGCTGTCTACAGTATATGTCATGCTGTAGCCTGCAAAGGGGACTGGACCCACAACTTTGTCTCAAGAAGTTGCGTAATCATACCTGTTTGTTGTGGCCACTTCTTCCTCCTCCACCTGTTGAATTATGGAATTACTTACACGCTTTACCCACAAATTCTGGCAGGGTATTTCACATGAGCGCATGCATCCATTTTTTTTTCAATATTTCTTTTTAAATTAGTAAGGAGTTTACTTTTGGGCGACGATCTCTGCTCTGTCTGAATATTATACAATCACAGCTGTTTATATGCTCGTAAACAAGACAGAACTATGTGACACCGGTTAGAAGCAGGAGTGGGCGGGTTAGTGCATCTCAGTTGACAGTGCCCTTAGGCCCCGTTCACATTGAGCGATTTATCGCGCGGTATTCGGTACTTCCCACGATATCGCGGCTATTTACCGCGCGATATCGCTCTTCAATGCTTTGCAATGGGGCAAAGGGTCCTGCTGTCGCGGGTCGTGTGTCGCTACAGCAGGACCCTTTTTGGAGCAGATTTTGACGCGATTCTCGCTTGCTCAATGCAAGCATTTGCGCGATATCGCGCAAAATGCGAATCGCGCAGTGTGAATGGGGCTTTACACTTAAGGGGTCAATCTGCCTAAAAGTGTGCATCAGTTTTTAGTAGATTCTGGAGAGTTAAAAACAGGATTTATGTCTCAGCATAAAATCCTTTTTTTGGAGTCTGTGGAGGGAGTAAGTCTTTACCCTTTGGGTTATACTGCCGCCTACAGGAAGATTGGACACTGGTAAACAAAATATCTGTAGACACCATCTCCTGCACCCAGTCATCTGGCTACCCAAGCATCTGCAAAGCTTAACCTCCCTGGCGGTATGATTATTCAGGATTTTAGCATGAAAAAAAGCGGTACATAGTTTTTCATGGCAATTTGTTGTTTATATTGTAGGCCTGTAATTCTTAGTAAATCTTAGGAATAACTCACCTAAATCTGTCCAAACAAGAGTCCAGTAGACATCCCGGGTATGATAAAGTTTGAAACACCAAATCATAAATTATAATAAATAACATTACACCCATTCTGGAAAGTTGGGGCACACCTTGATGCAGAGGAAAGGCTTGTCTGAGGATTTGGCAGACTTGGAATGCCAGACTTTGAGGGTGTATGGACAGCCAAGCTTGGAGAGCCTTGGCCCTGAAGTTGTGAGACTAGAGAAATGAAAGGGACATTTGACAGTTAGAGGAGAAAACTACATTGCAGTCTGCTCTTTAAGCTTCTCCTGCTGGGGAAGATAGATGCTTTTGCCACTGATAGCAGCCTGGATGATATTATTAAGAGCTATTGTAAAGAGACGTGGTCCCTCGAAAGCCAGTGAGAGCAGATCTTTGGACAGGGCTTCAAACTGCTCAGCAGTCCTTAAAGACACCTTCACCACAGGAGAATAGAGGAAAGCGTGCCTCCAGGCTGCAGTCATTGACACCATCAGTAGATGCGCTGGAAGTAGCCCTTGGAGTCATTAGCAGAGAGTGCGTTGGGGGCACCCAATACAGTGGGATTGTTCCTCCCCTACCTTTCCATGTCTACAATCAGACATGACACATCCTCAGTGTGGCAAAGCAACATGTAAGAGGCACAACCTCAAGTACTCAGGAAACCAGGACAGTTGGCAGCAGGTGAAGTTTGGAGGGTCTGAGGTGACAATGTCAATGTAGGCTGGCAGCAGACAGATTGGAGATCAAAGTTCCATATAGGTCTTGCAAAAGGAACAGCCATGGTGATGTGGCAGGGAAAAGCAGAAGACATGCAACACTTCACCCTGCAGATAACATTGGCACCCATTCCCATTCGGCAGCAAAACCTGTGTGTAACAGAAGATAATGGTGCTCAGCCACAGACTTAAACAGAGGTAGTTCCCAGCGCTCGGCTGACTGGCCTACCGACTAAGTGAGTCTTCAGAGACAGGGCAAGTGCTGAGGTAATGCCAATGGCTCTGGACCTGCAAAGTGTTCCACAGCCACATTCAGTCCAGAAGGGTCCAGATGCAGTACTCTATCAGAACCAGCATTAGCTTTTTCAGCACTTTGAGCTACAGTAGCTCTTCTATTGGATCAGACTACACGGGCGAGCCTTTGCTCCCCACGAGCATCAATGAGCCTTTGCCGCCCATGACCCTGTCACCAGTTCTCCTTCCTTGGAATTTTGGTAGGTCCTGACCATTGCAGACCAGGAACATCCCACGAGAGCTGCAGTTTTGGAGTTGCCCTGACCCAGTTATCTAGCCATCACAATTTGGCCCTTCTCAGAGTCACTCTAATCCTCATACTTGCTCATTACTTTGTCAACTTCAGGGACAAAATGTTCACTTGCTGCCGAACAAATCCTACCCACTTTCTGGTGCCACTGTATCAAGATAATCAATGTTATTCACTTCACCCCTGCACCTCCCAGTGGTCATAATGTTATGGCTGATCAGTGTATCTATAATTGAAACACTTTTGGATGGACTGACTCATAAATAGGCATGTGTATTTGTAGCCCAAAAAAAATCAAACAAAAATCACATGGCTCAATAATAATAACCCCAAATATTTCCAGCTTCAAGAGGTTTAGCCTATCTAAATAGGCTTGCTGCTATGGAGGAAGCAACCGTTTTGTTTAGATCCCAGAAGAGGTCTCGCAAGCAAGTTCTAATTTATAACCGGTGACATTCAGATATGTAAATGTATTCCCATTTACAGTATACTCGTTTATAATGAATAGTTATAAGCACCAGACATACCATGAAAAGCATTGGATTGAAGCATTGGGTTGATGACAAATACCCTTATAAAGCCTCCAATATAACGCTTAGTTTAAAAAATGGATTTGTGGTCAGCACTTGCAATAGCTGCCCGTTGTCGCCAGACTCCTGTCCACAACAGGGGCTCACGCACACTCCAGGTCATTACACCTTGCCACTGCTGTACACCAGGGGGGGCCACCATCTGGCGCCTACTCACGTGCAGGAGGATGGTTGCCTTCCCTGAGTGATGGAAGGGAACCTTGGCCAAGAATCGGGTGGGGGTCCGATAGGGAATCCCTGTAGGCACTGCAGCAGGTAATCCTGGAGTAGGTCCCAATGCCTAGCAGGGTAAGGCTCAGCCCCAAAGCAAACAAACATGAGCCCTAAAAAATAACAAACATTACGATGTCCCTGTGTAGCCGGCGGAAACACACAAAAACTGACTTGGGATGGAAGGAGGAGTCTTTTTATTTAATGTGGTTGATGTGTTTCCTGTTGCAGGCAGGCGGAGCCTATATCTCGATGGCTGTCCTGGAAGATGACTGGGGAAAAAGGTCTTACTATTCCCAATTGATACAAGACATAAAACACTCACTTTGTTGCATAAATAAACATGTTTTATAAAAGAACACTAGATATAAATGGAAAAAGCAGCACTAATATTTGAAAAATCAAATACAACTAAAGCCACGGTTACATCAATATTGCACCTTTAGCAAACAATGAGCTCTGCAGCATCCCGTCCACCCACGGTCTTGTTAAAACCAAAACACTGTCTGTGATAATGCTTTAGAAAAAAGGTTTGGTTTTCAATGCAAGCAGCAGGAAAATCCATTATATAGATGCTTCTGCTGCCTTAGAGAGATCTTGTTCTTTTTCAATGTCAATATCTGATGTCTGTTCTTGGCGGACGTTCTTCAATGCATGAACCGCATAGTTAATGCTTGTGTCTTCAAACCAACTCCAGGATCCCATGAAGGGATTGTACAGCATTCCCCTCAGAGTATCTACCACAAAACCATCTGTGAATCCAGAAGTAAAAATACATTTTATCCGCATAGCTGTAGGCAAGTAGCATAGCATACATATAGATTTTGAGATCGACTTAATCATTACACGAAGGCCACATTTAAACAATTGTCAAGTGCAAAGACCCTGGTCAAAGCACTCACAATACTTACTAGATTCAAGTAGTCTTTCAAGCTCTTCGGGCGGGATAAACTTGTCCCAGTCATGAGTACCTTCGGGGACAATGGACATGACCTTCTCTGCTAGCACTATGCCAAGAGCATAGGATATCTTGGTTTTATTAATTGTCGTGATAAATAGTGAACCACCTGGCTTCCAAAAAAAAAATACATACATTGAAGGCGGAGCCTATATCTCGATGGCTGTCCTGGAAGATGACTGGGGAAAAAGGTCTTACTATTCCCAATTGATACAAGACATAAAACACTCACTTTGTTGCATAAATAAACATGTTTTATAAAAGAACACTAGATATAAATGGAAAAAGCAGCACTAATATTTGAAAAATCAAATACAACTAAAGCCACGGTTACATCAATATTGCACCTTTAGCAAACAATGAGCTCTGCAGCATCCATCTTGTTAAAACACGGTCTTGTTAAAACCAAAACACTGTCTGTGATAATGCTTTAGAAAAAAGGTTTGGTTTTCAATGCAAGCAGCAGGAAAATCCATTATATAGATGCTTCTGCTGCCTTAGAGAGATCTTGTTCTTTTTCAATGTCAATATCTGATGTCTGTTCTTGGCGGACGTTCTTCAATGCATGAACCGCATAGTTAATGCTTGTGTCTTCAAACCAACTCCAGGATCCCATGAAGGGATTGTACAGCATTCCCCTCAGAGTATCTACCACAAAACCATCTGTGAATCCAGAAGTAAAAATACATTTTATCCGCATAGCTGTAGGCAAGTAGCATAGCATACATATAGATTTTGAGATCGACTTAATCATTACACGAAGGCCACATTTAAACAATTGTCAAGTGCAAAGACCCTGGTCAAAGCACTCACAATACTTACTAGATTCAAGTAGTCTTTCAAGCTCTTCGGGCGGGATAAACTTGTCCCAGTCATGAGTACCTTCGGGGACAATGGACATGACCTTCTCTGCTAGCACTATGCCAAGAGCATAGGATATCTTGGTTTTATTAATTGTCGTGATAAATAGTGAACCACCTGGCTTCCAAAAAAAAAAAACATACATTGCTAATTATTATTATAAGCTTTACCAATAATAAAAATGCAATTAGTCATTGCTGTTAAGGTAAGTAACGGTAAGTAACATGTTTTTGTTACTGAAACCCCTTCCCACCTCCATAAATATGTGGACCACCAAACTGATTGTGCGATAAAATAGACAATAAGGCAATGTATATATAGAAGTATGTTATTACAAATGCATACTAAAATGTACAATTTGAATGTATGCCTTACCTTAAGTACATGAAAACAGCTTTGGATGAAGGACTCAAGATCATTCACATGTTCTACGACTTCTGAAGCCACAACAGCATCAAAGCATTCAACATTCTGCTCCTCAACCTCTTCCAGTGTGCAAGGCTTGTACTGGATAAGCTTGTCTAAGACAGGATCAGCTGACTTGTGAAGTATTGCTGTTGTAATGTTATCTTCGAGAGGGTCAATTCCTGTAACCGCAGCGCCTAGTCTTCCAAGTGGCTACAACATCAAGAATAAGTGGAAGAAGTTGATTTCTAATTGATCCATATACAATTTAGCTGTATTCAGCAAATGTTTGCTTGTCAGATAAGCAGAATCTGCTTCTTCCTTTGTAGTGCTACACAGCAGTTGTGCGTTACTGTTCCTTTCTCACGTCATCTAGTTGTCTTATTGAAAACAAAGCAATCTCTATGTAGCCGCTATTAAAAAACAGTTCTTGATTAAAGAGACTGGGGGATTGTAGGACATATCTTTAGCACCCAATCGCAATGCTACATGGACGTGGGTGTGTTGCATAGGTCCATTTTTTTTTTTCTAATCGACTCTCAAAGTACATCCATGGACCAAAAAAGCACCTGATTTTTAAGGTATTGCAAGGTGTTTTCCATGGCATCGGTTGCAGCGCAAGTTTGGTGTGTGCATGGGCCCTATTAGAAATGAAGGACACATACAACAAGCTTTGTTGCACAGCAAGTGAACACACAAAAAACAATGTAAATGGGCCCTTAGTGCACAATCTACAAATCATGTGTTCAAAATACCACAATAAAAATATGGAAAATCAAGCAGGTAAGGAATATAAAAGCGACATTAAGTTGTACTTAAAAACTTGAACATCTAAATAAGATATTCAATCGCAACACAAGACATTTTGTAGTTTAAAAAGGTATTAAAGGGCAGCTGTACTTTTAAGACCTACCACCAGGTAAAAAAAAAAAAATACTGTTGAAGTGTGGAGGTAGTCGCACTTCATGAATTTCTTTTTGCTGGTTAAAGGAGAACTATGACTTAAGGGCAAATAAAAATACCCCTTACCTTGATTGTAGTAGCATCGTTCCTTTTTTCTAAAGTCGCAGCACATCACAGATAAAACCCTCAAAACCTGTAGTAAATGGCGTCTTCAACCCTGCTCCAAGCTCCTTCCCTCTTAGGGGGCGTTAACATTTGATCCAGCCCGCCCACGGCTTTTTTTCCAAATGATCTCATTGCTGTGGCCGCGCTTCCTCTCATCGTGCACAGCTGTGTTTTGTCAGCTCGTGCACGCTGGCATTTGTGAGTGGGAGGCGGAGTCTGAAGTGAGAAGGCAGACGGACTCAGCCTCCCTGCACATTCAGTGCTCTTTCCCCTCTCTCAACAGCGGTCCCCAGTAATTAGGATGTCAGCATAACACAGGGGGAGAGAGAGGATAAAGAGCCATCCCTCTCTCCATCATTTACCAGAAATGGGCAAGTCCATATATGGTGAATGATGTCACTGGGTATCCCTGCAGACTGGCAAGCATCCGATCAGCAGGGATCCCCAGTGACATCATTCATCATACATGGACTTGCCCATATGTGGTAAATGATGGAGAGAGAGAGAGAAGGCTCCTTCCCCTCTCTCTCTCTC